ACCGTCTCTCGCTCATCACGCCAAAAGGGGTTTTTGGTTGTCAAGGGTAAGATAAATGCGGAGTCGTCTGACAAATCGTTCCTTAGTGCTAACAATTAGTTGAGATAGAAATCAGACCGGAGTCCTGACGAGTGTTGTTGTTAGGCAAGATGCAATTGGTTCATGCGGTCTAGCAAGATGCCGAACAAGTTGTGATATATCCCGAGCTGCAGTTCTTGAAATATCGAGCCGGTAGATGTGATAATTTGGAGTAGCGAGTGCGGACGCGACATTGTGCCATACGTCGGAGCCACATATGCAAGCTGCAACACGTACATGGACTGGCATGATCCTCTAGCTGTTGTATCGGGTTCAGTGGGCTAACACGATCCAACCTCAGAGGGTAAGTGTTTTGCGAAGTAAGGATGGCATTTATCCGAGGGAGCGGGTTAGTCGTGTCAGGATGGACACTGAGATGTACGATCAGAATCATCGGAACGTGCGTTCGCGGTGAAGGCCAGAATGGAGAGATTGGCCAGCATTTTCCGTCTTCTTCGATCTATCGTGTACGTCCATGTTGGTAGGATTGCGGCGCATCCTGTGGCGTTCCATACAGTCAATGCAATCCTAGACTGTACGTCGACAGAGAGGACATGTAGAAAGGTCTCAGACGTTGGAAGCGTCCATCGGTCCTTCCTTCTTCCCTTTGAACAATATCTCCGGTCAATTTGGAAGATTGGAACTCCATTTTTTACGACGGCGCGCTACGCCTACCGGTTCTCCACGATGATCCCCCTGGGCCCTTGGCACATTCCAAGATAAGCTTTCAGGGTGCTCTTTGGGTACATCTTGTCCGCGAGCACACGGAAGAGCATTATCATATATGAGTCGTCTCTGTAGACGCTCATCAGTCATGCGGACAAAAGACCTCTCCAGCGGAGCTCTATCGGTTGCTGAGATGCTGAGCATGCTATTCGATCCAGGACAGGGGTGCACGTGATCCAGTCCTGCCGGCCCTCTTTCAGCATCATCTGTATATATACAGCCTAAAAGATAGCGGTCAAGCTTCATCGTTCGAAATTAGCAAACTGCACAGGCCTCCGCGCCAGATGAGCGTTATCAGGTTTACAGTCCGCTGTATTCTCGATCTCTTGTCGAGGAGGATGTTAAGGCGAATTCGCGCTGTGTATTGTGGTCTCCTGTGGGTTTGACTGGTCTCAGAGGTCAGGATTGCAATTTTGGCGTTCATTTTTGGTGCATCTTCAAATTCTGCTCTCAAGGCAGAAGAACTAGTCTACAACTACACAACATTTCCTACTGGTAGTTGCCATGGTTTTGGCATATTCCGCATTTGATGTTGGTTGATGCATGATCTGGAGGTGAGGAGATCTAGCCCCCCCCTTGTGTCCGTTTCCCTTTGGGTGTTTAACACACGCTTCCTCGCAGATAAACAGTTATTATAATTTGTCTTGTTCATTTTCACTTCGGCCTACACATGGCGGGCGTTAAATAGCTGTGCATTCGTCGGGTTGATGATGCCAATTCAAGGCATCTTGTTGCCGTATGGCTCTAACAGCACGACGGAAAAAATAGGACTGTGGAAGTTGGGAACGAGTACGCAACTCTGCTTCTTTCCCATTTGTTCCAGCAAAGACTTCCAAGGTCGATGCACTGTCCGTGCTAAAAGCTATAATGGGGCAGTGGAGTTGCGCAACAAACAGTGTTAAGCCCTTGGAACATCCGAATTCCATCAGCATTCTGCAGAGTCGGTTTCGGCTTGCCATGTCAAATGTGCCTTTTAAAGATCGACGATGACTGTACGCAGGCTGGTTCTCATTCCTCGACACCAGTCCTCTATTTTCTTATTTCCGGTTGTTCCACAATGCTTTCGGAGTGAGCCTGTTGTTCCTGGATGAATTATTTGTTCCAGACTAAACCGAATTGACCGTGAAGAACAGAGCAGAGATCTTGTGGGGAGTACTGGAAAGGATGATTCCACAGCGTCTATCGAAAATATGTCGTTATCTTTCCAGTTTGTAGAAGTGCATACTGGTAGCCTTCCGGTAGTCTCGCGCGATTTGTCCGTGTATTCACAGCTTCAGGACCAGTGTGGTCCGCCTCTTCATAAGTTGAGCGTCACGATGTCCGTAAACTTCCACTGGGATCGCGTAGGTCAAGGGGACTCTTCCACTGGACATCTTTTATACTGTCCGATCGTCTCACACCGTCGGGGCAGGTTACCAAGGCCAACATTAGTTTAGACTGGCAAGAGTCTCTAGATGGCTACCTCTGGATTGCAAATGGACTTTTCAGGGCGCACCTAAAGTACTCGGCTGAACGCTCCGAAATCTGCGATTTTCTAGTAAAAAAAACTGTTGTCCCGTCTGAGGTGAACAGTGGCGCACTTTCGGTGTGCTAAGCGTCTTAGAATGCCCCTATGGACGCGAATCATTCTGTTATTTCAGTGAGGTTTCTGTAATGTCTGCCTATCGAGGAAGAGAAGTTGGATGCCTTTGTAATCATCGCCAAGACAGTCATGGAGGTTTCAACAAGCGGATCCAAGACCTGCGGTTACTCCAGTTCAGATGGCATCCCGCAGTGTCTCATCTTCCTTGTTCAGGGCTTACAGCTGTTGCAGATAGTAGTGTTCGTTTCTCTGTTGAGACAGTCTGCCTCCCCTTGGTTGAATGTGCAGCCCCAAATTGGATACCACTAGACGATTGTCACTCGAGCATTCGCCACCGTGAATAGTCTTTGTCACAAGCACGGCTCGACAATCGTCGCCAGAGGAGCAGGTGTTTAGTATCTTTCAGGAATGCGAGCGAGGATGCATCCATGCAGTCAAGAAGGCAGAAAACGGCGTAGGTGGGAAGGTTGCATTCTGTGCAGGTTTTCATCGGGAGTCTGTTGCTGTTGCAGTTGCCTACTCCGCGGCAATCCAGCATTGCTTAGCGGATGGCGCGATTTATGTCGACTCCTGAACTGAAGTCTCTGGGACCGATCATTACAGTGGATTTCCACACAGAAACGGAGGGACGCTCAGATTCTCGTAAAACATCCCACGTCCTCATGACTCGGCATTATGAAGGCGCGGCTGCCGACGATCGTAAAAACTCACCCTCCGCGGATCGCTAAACTCATTTTCATAAGATGGTTGCGCATCGTATGCAGGGGGGGGGGAATTGCATGAGGATACCCTTTTTGACTGTGCAGGCAACTCCAGCGTTTATTTGTTCTTTGGGGGTTGACTTTTCTTATTTCGAGAAGCAGTTATCACCGAGGACAACGATGCATATTTGGTAGCGTGTGGCCCACGGAGACTAGATCTGTCCCACAATCTGTTTACTTGGACATTGTTTATTTGGAGGAAAGAGAGTGAATTAATTCCGCCGTGACGAGGGCGGAGGCGGTCATTGTTTGTTTGCATTGGGGCGCGCTTTAGACTGGGGTTCACACCATATCCAACATAGAGACTAATCGAACCTTCAGTTACCGGTAGGCTCGGACAGACCACTAATGTTTCAGAGAAGAATAAGTATATGGTCAATTCGTCTGGGACCCAGCGTTTGGCTTCCTCATCAGAAGCAAACAAACGTTTTTTTTCAAAATCAACGCGGCGTGGAAAGATTCGCAACCTGAAGGATTGTCAATCAAAGAGAAAACTCGGTACTTTTGAGGACTGAGGGTCGGGCTACAAAGTTTTCTCAATGGAGCTTTAATAGAATTTTCATTCAAGTGAGATTCGGTGCGGTCTCACTGAAAATTTATGCAGCCTTGGGAACTGCCATTTCGGTAGTCGCGAACGACGATGTCAACTATGTATCCCGCAATATGGCGGGCGCAGGAGGGTGGCTTGCGAGTGAATTAGTTTGCCACACTCTCTCCTCCCCCACCTGCGCTGTGCTATTGTTCGTTGTTTGACTGACAATCCTGCCTCCGACAAACTGGACAAAGTCGTATGCTAGCTTGAGCGTTAACAGCGCCTTTCAACTTCGGAATTTGTCTTGTCGCAATGCAACCTACGACTTGTTTAGGGCACGATTTCTAGCCCTTTCCCCATCCGGGGGGTAAACAGTACTGTCCCTAAATGGGGCTGCTTAGACATCCCGGACGACTGTAGAGCTCCACTATGGGGTAACGACTTTTTTCGTAGAGAGCGATTCGTGTTAGCCTGGGCCGCCTGCGCAATTACATGTAGCCCTCTCTGTAGGACTTTTTGAAGTGGGGGAAAGGGGGAGGGTTGGCAAAGGAAACAGGGTCACCGGCTGTGAATATGGACACACGGATACCCTCACCTGGTTTTGCCCTCCGGTCGAGGCGGTTATTGAAGTGTGGCCGCTAGACAGATCTTAGTTTCGGGGGACCACACATGAGAGTTGGGTGCTAGTTAATGGGACCCGAGACGTAGTCAACACCTGCAAGCAAGTGGGCTACCTACTACAACCTTCACGTGGACCCACAGCTGGACATCCCCACACCCCCTACTTTTCATATAACCCCCTACACTTACAGAACGAATCCAACAATGCAGCATGTACGAAGCGCCTCAGCAAGGCTCCCTCTTGTTTAGCATAATTCGTCGGGATTCTCGAGTGTTTATTCGACTCTTAGTGTCAGGTCTTTGGCATAACCAAGGTGAATAGCAGAAGCTTTTCATCTTCGATACTACGAGACGCCAATCATCAAGGTAGTGTGTGAGATATTTTTCAGGTCGACTAGGTCAGTCATGCTTGCAACTGTGTCAACCACGAACAAATTACCGACAATCGTGTTCAAATTACCTGTTTGACGATTTCTTTTTTTAACCCTTTCTGGTGGAGAATTTCCTGACTGAATGAAATGCGCACAGCTGATCATTTTGGAGACTCGTCCGCTCCACCGGTTTTAATCACTGAACCCTGGTCAGCCGGACGATCGATAATAATGACATCTGAGTGGATAGACTGCACATTAGCTTTTTTCAATCTTCTAGGTCGAATCCATGCTAACCGCTATTCCATCAGCACCGCTGGAAGGCCTGCCGGCGCGTCTACCACCGTCAGAACTGCATGCAACCGCCGTGGAAAAACTGCAGGAAATGTTGGAACTTCAGGCCAGTTGCCAGTACCTCCTGGATGTTCATACTGCTCTTGGTTGCCTCGAGGACCGTACTGCCTGCCTTTTCCGACGAGTCGGGTGTTTCGCCAGAACGGCTTGCTCGACTAAGGTTGCCAGCCTCTACGAGGAGCTAAAGAAGGGCAGTGAATCCTTTGTAGGAGCGGATGGAGTGGAAGCCGGCGGCGGAGATGAGAACCTGCTCGGAATGGGTGAACATTATGAGAATTTTGAGTGTGTACCTCTGTCTTTGCGGCCTTTCACTTTGAAGACGCTTTGTTTAACAGTCGTTTCCTGTACTCCATCGTTAGGCGGATGTGCGAGTCCTAAGTGTTTTCTGTGAATCAGAGTGGGCGGTCGTCGGAACAGTCTTTGTAATCACCTTCAGCTACCGTGGACCTACGCACAGACGTCGATGTGGGATTAGAAAACACAGCAAATGCCAGTCCTTGGCGTTCCGACTTGTTAGCAAACTGTGCACTTTCCCGGACATATACAGTAAGTGGGCTAACTCAGGAAATGTCGGCCGACATTTCTAAATGCGTTCTCGTTTCGAAAAGCTTAATTATGTATAGTTGTAAAATTAATCACCATCCACCATAATTCTATAATGATCTAGTTGCCTCAGGGTGTCTTCTTTCGAATGGACTTATTTTCGACTGCATGCAAGAACTACACTTGGCAAAAATGACTACTTAAGTAGCATGCAATTTTCTCATTGAGTTTCGATGCCCTTAAAATTCCAATTATATTTCATGACAAAAATTCATAAAAAGTCGTTCTTTTATTTATTTGGTAGAAAATCACGTCTTCTTTCAATTTTATACTCGAAGGAGGAGTATAATTCGGTTTCAAAAAAGCTTCAAATTGTGAGATTTTTTAACACCGTGAAATGGTCGTTCATAAACGTCCTGTATCTGCGTTTACCAATGTGGCTCAACTCCATATGGTCTCCTCTTAATACCATAGAGAAATGTATGGTTTTCCGTACACAGAAAATACACGGCTTGTAGTTTTGAAACCCTGAATCCAAATGTAACGGGAGAGTGGGTTCAAAATTATTCGGGAATTAGAAAAGTTTTTTTAGAGTCGAATTATACTCTTCCTTCGAGCATAAAATTGGAAGTAGACGTGATTTTCTACCGAATAAGTAAAAGGATGAATATTTGCATGCATGTTTTCAACGAAGTATAATTGAATTTTAAGGGGCATCGAAAATCAATGAGAACATTGCACGCTACTTAAGTAGTCATTTTTTGCAAAGTATGATTCTTGCATACAGTCGGAAATAAGTTCGTTCGAAATAAGGCACCCTAAGGTAACTTAAATATTATAGAATTATGTTGCAGACTGACTAGTTTTACAACCCTACTTAATTCATCTTTTCGAAACGAGAACGCATTTCGAAATTTCGGTTGAAATTTTATGAGTTAGCCCAGCTACTGTACAAGACCGATTCGTGCGAACAGACAACTCACAAAACTTCATCCACTGCTTCCTCCGTATACGCGCCAGTTCGACCGTCGTGAACGACGATTGCCACTATGTGCGCCGCAGCATGTCGGGTGCAAGACGTTCACTTGCACATGAAAAAATTTACAGTGATGGCAGACTTTCGCAGTACCTGCCGCACACTGGCTTCCTTCAGCCACCTGGACTCGATGGCAAGGCAGAGTCGGGACGACCGCGTGCTACACACAACCTGGCCCGTGCACAACGAACCATTTTGCACAGAAATAAGGTGGGCGGGTGGGATCTCATCTGAGTAGCAGTGCCATTACAGGCCACACCAAGAATGAGCCATTGCAGCCCGACTCTCCGTACCGGGAGGGCCGAGTTATCTTGTCAACAGGCAGCCCTCCAAGCCACGAATTTCATTGCATCGTGATAGTTTCATCGGACGTCAGATTGTTTATGGTGAGGTGTATACAGTCCACAGAGTCGACTTCACTCTTTCCTCTATCCACTGTTGGAGCCTGTCGGTCATATGGTACCCTGATGGCCGACGGTTAAATATTAATTGATACCGGAGGTTGAAGTGCTCTGTCTTCCCCAGCTGAATATTCCCAATGTCAGCCAATATGAGTCCGTACTGCAATGACGTGAGCCCTACACGATGTTCCACTGTTTTGCCCTCTAAATTTGGATGAGTCAATACCTGTAGTTGAAGTACCAATAAATGATGACGGCCAATAAGCCGGAACTAGGGTACTTTTTCAGATTTCGTGTCGCGGCTGTCATTGCCGTTATTCAAGCCACACCACGTGATGCCTCAGATCATGGATACACAAACACACACACACACACGGTTCATCCGCCTTCCCAGGTCACTGTCCACACTTTAAGTGAGGACCAGGAATTCTACTTTGTGGACACCAGTTAAGGGCGCAGACTGGTGTGAAGACTGGGTGGGAACATCTGGAAGCCTAGGACGCCACTAAAAACTCCGTAAATCGACATATCGATTTTCCTCCTGCTTTGTAGTCGCCGTGCTCTCATCGTCAGATGGCACAGTCCCGTTTGTAATCGAGGTCTCGCGTCGACGTGTGGCGAGGAAGTACAGACGGCTGCATTTGCTACAGTTCCTTCATTGCCTCTGGTGCTGGGCTCCTGCATTGGTCAGAAAGCTCAGAGAAATTCGGCGACTGTTCCGGAAAGCGACCGTCCCTCTTTGTAATATATGTACATAGAGTAGGTGGGCTAACTCATGAAATCTCAACCGAAATTCCGAAATGCGTTTTCGTTTCGAAAAGATCAATTAAGTAGGGTTGTAAAACTAGTCAGCCTGCAACATAATTCTATAATATTTCAGTTACCTCAGGATACCAGCTTTCGAATGAACTTCCTTCCGGCCTCATGCAAAAACTACACTATGTAAAAAGTGACCACTTAAGTAGCATGAATTTTTCTCATTGATTTTCGGTGGCCCTTAAAGTCCAAATATATTTCATGGAAAACATGCATAAAACTATTCATTATTTTGCTCATTCGATAGAAAAGTACGGCTTCCTTCAATTTTATGCTCGAAGGAAGGGTGTAATTCGGTTTTCAAAAACTTTTCCTATTCCCGAATAATTTTGAACCCGCTCTCCCGTTACACTTGGATTTAGGGTTTCCAAACTAGAAGCCGTATATTTTCCGCGTGCGGAAAAGCACACATTTCTCCACGGTAATAAAGGGGAACCATATAGGGTTCATAGAATTTAGCAGTGGATTTGATCCATGTTGTTAACTTTACAAGCCACATTGGTAAATGCAGAGACGTGACGATTTATGAACGGCCATTTCACAGTATTTAAAAGTCCCACAATTAGAAACTTTTTTAAAACTTAATCACGTCCCTCCTTCGAGCATAAAATTAGAAGAAGACGTAATTTTCTACCGAATAGTAAAAGAATGAATATTTTTATGCATGTTTCCCATGAAATATAATTTGACTTTTAGGGGCATCGAAAATCAATGAGAAAAATTCATGCTACATAAGTAGCTACCTTTTACAGAGTGTAGTTTTTTGCATGCAGCCGGAAGGAAGTTCGTTGGAAAGCCGGCATCCTGCGGTAACTGAAATATTATAGAATTATGTTGTAGGCTGACTAGTTTTACAACCATACTTAATTAATCTTATCGAAACGAAAACGCAGTTCAGAATTTCGGTTGAGATTTCATGAGTTAGCCGACCTTCTGTACATAGCTAAGTTAATTGTAGACAAGGTTCGTCCAACAGAAAGGAAGTTCAAGTTTTGGTCCAAGGGCAATTTTCAGTACTTTTTCTTTCATCTGTAAATTATTCTTGTCTGGCCAAAGTTATATTTCGGCTGCCATAAGTCGTGACGTGCTCGCAGCTGTGACTCGTGCGCAGATTTGTTTATAATAGAGCAGACTTTCACCGCATCTACTCCACCACATTCCAATGGCTTGACAAAATCAAGAAGACAGGTGGTTTTGGACGTATTGACTGCCATAGCTAAACAGCTCTTCAGCGCCTGTCAAATTTGGCTTTGTCCCTGGTTTCACACGTTCCAGTCTTCATTCAGGGTGAGGGACGGTGACGTGTGGGTGAATACGTTCATAGGAAGTAACGGGCTTGCGCAGCATCGGCCACACCCTCTCCATCCCATCACCTGGGCCCCGTGTCATGACAGAGTCAAGATGACCGGAGGTGGAAGAGGGTGCAGGCGGCCGGCACGGCGAAAACTCGCACCTCTTAGCGCGTGCCAGCACACCGGCTCGGATCCCATTCGGTGGGAGTGCCATTGCAGTGAGAGCTATTAAAACCTCATTCTCAGTCCACCAGTCGGCCTCTCCACACAAACAAACAGTCAATGATCGATCTCATGAAATGCTAACTCAAATTCTGAAATACGATTTTGATTGCGATGTAATCCCGTGATGTTTCAGATGCGCAAGGGTGTTAGCTTTTGAACGCACTTCCCGTCGGTCGCCTGCAAAACCGCACTCTAAAAAATGATTACTTAATTAATATGCAGACAGGTAGTCGTCTCACAATGTTTGTCTAGATGGCAAAGGCGACGCTCGCGTCACGTCGTTATGCCTTGGGGCGCCCGCACCAGAAGAAGGTGTAGCCGGCACCCACCTCCTGCAGTTGACCTTTTCCTAGTCACACTGAGTACAGAGATGTCCAACTTGTAGCGCGCCAGTTCCCTAGCCATTAGCGCCGTCCGCCGTTCCGGCCAGTTCCTCCTCGGAATGTCTAAAAGGGAACATTCCAGGCTGCGAGAGTGAGCGGGCTCACGTAGGACTTTTGAGTGGGTCGGGGGAGGCGGGGACATGGGGGAAGGGTAGAGAGACGGGAAGCAGAGTTTTCCGTCCCTCACTAAGCTAACCGGTTGCTTAAATATGAACGGTGAGCAGACAAATTTAGCAGAACGGCACTTGGCTTACAACAAGGACAAACACAAACAAGCAAGAATAAGCAGACAGCAAAGACAAGAAAGGGAAATTCGGCTTACCCGGGGGTCACTTACATTGTTGTCTCATGCAGGGTTGCAGAGGAGGCCTCATCTCGGAGATACCGGGGCCGTGATCCGTCCGGCCAGCGATGGTGACAATAGAGCCGAGTTACCGTGTGTGGAGATGTACACACGGACACCGTCACCTGGTTTAGCCCGTCGGTCGAGGCGGTTACCGGGGTGTGGCTGCTGGCCAGAGCCCAGTTTCGAGGAGCCACACGCGAGAGTTGGGTGCCAGTAAATGGTTACCCAGGCCAGTGGGTTCTGTGCAAGGTCTTCCCAGGTCTTCTGGTTGATCTGTAATTGTTTCAAGGTATCGTCGTAGCGGCGGTTTGGACCCCTTGTTGGTGAGCACCCCATAACGACACCTCCATAGGAGAATTGTTTGGGTAGTCGCTCATTGCCCATTCTCACGAGGTGGTCCCTCCATCGCAGTTATAGTTGTACCAGCATGGCGTGGGTGCTGAGGATTCTGGTCCGTTCCAAAACTTCCGTGTCTGGGATCCTTTCCTGCCACCTCGGCCCTCGTTTTCTCAGTGGAAAACTGAGGTGGAAGTAGTAGAGTTTCCGCGCCTGTTTCTTACAGACTATCCAGGTCTGCACTCCATACAGCAGTCTTCAAGATGACGGCTTTGTACATCTTGAGTTTGGCGTTGAGGTGGAAAGTGTGGCAAATCCATACTCTGTTCTGTAACCGGTCGAAGGACCGGCTGGATTTGGAGATCTGGTGTTCGACTTCATCGTCGATTTTGATGTTGTGGGGGAGTGTGCTGCCTAAATAGGTGAAAATGTCCACCTTTTTCAGTTGGGGGCCGTTGATATGGATGCGAGAAACATTGTATGAAGCGTTTGACGACGGTTGATGCATGACGACCGTTTTGTCGGTGTTGTTAGTCAGGCCGAAGTCGGCACAGTCGGAGGCGAATAGGTCCAGACTCCGTTGCATGTTCGAATGTCGCGATGAGGGCCAGATTGAGGAGCCTCGATAGCCTGACCCTATATTTGGAGTACGGCCAAATTATTTCGTCAGTTTGCAACCTTCCAAGCTACAGCTGTTAGTACGTCGTGATGGTCGCAAAGTGCGTCTGAGTGTTTATAAGTCTAGATCTGAACACAGTATCTCAGCTGAACCGACCTCAGTCTATCTCAGTCCCTCTCTCTCCCATACCAAAGTGACTTGGACACGGTGGCTGACTTGACGTGAAACCTTCGTCCAAATGTGCTACACATGTTCTGGTCTCGTTCTGCCTGACTAGATTTTGCCAAAAATCCCAGTTCTTGTATAAATGAGACGTGCCTATTCCCATGTACGACCTGCCGAAACTGCTGTTCTTTCTGGCTTGACGCCTTTCCGAATTCAGGAAGGAAAAGCAGAAAAGTGACTGACTTAGGCGCAGAATACGGTGGGAGATCTATCACTGATCCTTTTATACAAGATGTAATCTTGATACTTCAATCCCCTTGTAGCCGAGCTGATAGAGGATTTTTACAACTCGGCTGTTGTACAGTTTTTGTTTCTAAATTTTCTTCGATAAGAATGTGTTTAAACAGACTTGCTGTTTGCGAAATGCTTACCTCCTCTACAGTCTGTTAACTGCTTTGTCTCTCAACGTCTAGCTGCGAAGTGACACTAGTTGCTGCGAGCCTTCTGGAAGTCGAAGAACTTCTTTCCAAACCGTCTTACTTCAACAAATCCGAGGTGACGGTTTTTCAGAACTTCGAACGGGCCTTTGCATCACAAAAGGTACTTCTTTTAGGAACCAAGTCCGTTAGGCTCTATTTCACCCTTTACTTGCTTAGTAACGGGGAAATCCACGCTGCTGTATTAAGTAAGTAGTTTGGCAAAAGTTAAAGGGCTGCACGTTATAGAGCTGATTAATTTCTGACTACACCAAACGGCCTTCCTGCCGTTACAATTGTTGCAGTCTTTGTCACTCATTGGACGGCCACTTTCTGCTTGTCCAAACGCCCCCCCCCTCCCTCCTCCCAGTACTTCACCAGAACGATTGCCGGTTTTTACTCACTGGGTCTCATGCCCGTGCATCCAGGAAATAACGTTACCTGAACTAGCAACCCCACGGATCAGTAGATTTAATTGGTTGCTACTAAACAGCCCTAAGCCGCCCCTCCATTGCTGCTGTCGTATTTTGGCCCTCCACAATCTCATCTATCTTTTATGTCTTTCATACAGACTCGACTTCATGACTTCCTTCGTTCGCAGTGGCAGAGGATAGTTCGATTTTCTACTGACTCACCGTCCTCTGACTTGCCGGTAGCCCTGGAATTTAACCAACAGTGGGTCATCTGTTCGCTGGAAGTGTCTGGCCGTACCACAGAAATAGAGACGATTCTTAGACTCGCTTGTGGTTTGAAGGAGACCAAGGTAAATTGTCTGCTCGCGCTCATTCTACTGCTTATAACTTTCCTCTTTCCGTCCTTCATTTAACTTCATTGCCCTTCACCAATTACAGGCTCTTGTTGAACAACTTTGTCTTGATGTATGGAATCGAATCTTCTTACCCTGGTTGGAGAGTCAGAAGACGCAAGAATCCTCTACTACTGGCTGTCTGCAATTGCGCGTACGTTTTCTCTCGACTCCTTTTGTTTATCAAAATAGAGTGAGCTACATGGAACGGCTCAGAACTTGTCACTAACTCGTTCAGATATGGCTTCCTCCGTTCCCTTCTTGCATATCTTTTTCGGGTTCCCGAAACAGTCGACGCTGTCAAGTCATGTCTAAATACAGGTCGCTGTGGCACACGGGTGGCGGAAAATTTTGGCCGCAGCCAATTTTGTCGACAGTGCAAACGGAAATCAGAGTGCAGCCGATGGACGCAAGGGGTGCGCCTTGGTACCATACCCTGTTTGATCTGTAGTCGTAATGTGTACATTGCTGGACGAAGGAACTATTCCATACGGTCCCGGGTTCTCTGCGACTTCACGATACTGTGTCCTGCGCAGCCACTGCACACGGTTGACTGTCATGCTAAGTCAGACTAAGGGGACCGGCAGTTAACTGCATTCACGGACTTCGTTTGTGTCGCACTGTTCAAGGGCGGGAGTAATCGTTCGCTTTGTTGGGCATGGAGACAGAATTTATGCTAAGTTAGTTGCTGCGGAGGACTTCGTCGATGGTCGGCTTTAGTTGAATTTCTCACTGGGACATGCTCATGAAGTTAAGAAAGAGCGAGGCCAATCCATCTCACCCTTTGTCACTATGCGAATCTGACAGACCGAAAGTCGTGATCCAGGTTACCAACTGACGACATACTTGGTTGAACTCCATCCTGAGGGTCTGGATCCAATGACTCATTCATGCGGCCTTTATGAAGACTCATACTCATATGCTCCGACTTGCTGAGGCCTAGCTCCAATGTGGTCATTAACGAGCTCTGGGGTGACATGCGTATACAGAAGTTTTGCGCTCAATTGTTCGCATTTCCCCGTAGTAGTAACTAAGTGCCGTGAAAGGGGCTACATACGATGCTACGTCGGAAAATCTGGGTGCTTTTTCCTCACATAGCCGTCGACCATAGTTAAGTTTGGGATCTCTAAGCAGCCATAGGAGGGGTGGGGGCGGGGAGATAGCAGACCGTATCTCACAAACAAAATAAACACCAATCTCTAGCAACTGCAGGCACCGGAGAAAAAACGATAAGACACATTACAGGCCATCATCTATGCTTGAGTGGACGCAGGTCGTGGTTCCGCTTATTGAAACCTCCACAACCATTTCGGCGGCGACTACAACGACATCCAACTTCTCTTCCCCAATAGACAGAGACTTCACTGAATACCAGTGAAATAACGAACTGATTCACGGTCATTGAGGCATTTTAAGACGCTTAGCACACCGAAAGTGCGCCACTGCTTATCTGCTAAAGCCAGACGAGAAAGCGTGGTTACTGTCTGCTAAGCTGTTTTCTGGAGATGCTGAATGTGAGGTGACAGGAATGGGTCGTTGACATCTAGGTCGTGATAAAACCGATACAACTCCGCCACAGGAGCCTTTTGTCCGCATGAGTGATGAGCGCCTACAGAGACGACGCATCTCTGATAATGTTGTTTCGGGTGCTCGCGGACAAGATGTACCCAACGGACGCTAGAAGGACATCCTGAAGGCTTATATTGGAATGTGCCAAGGGCCCAGAGGGATCATCGTAGAGAACCGGTAGGCGTAGCGCGCTGTCGTAAAAAATGGAGTTCCAATCTTCCAAGTTGACCGCATATATTGTGCAAAAGAAAAGAAGGAAAGGCCGATGGGCGCTTCCAACGTCTGAGTCCTTTCTACATGTCCTCTCTGCCGACGTAAAGTGTAGGATCGCATTGACTGTATGGAACGCCATAGGATCCACCACAATCCCACCAACATGGACGTACACGATAGACCGAAAAAGACGGCAGATGCGGGCCAATCTCTCCATTCTGGCCATCACCGTGAACGCACGTTCCGATGCCGGATGATTCTGGTTGTACATCTCAGTGTCCATCCTGACATGACTAACCCGGTCCCTCTGATAAATGCTATCCTTGCCTTGCCAAACACTTACCCTCTGAGGTCGGGTCGTGTTAACCCACTGAACCCGATCCAACAGCCAGAGGATCATGCCGGTCCACCTACGTGTTGCAGCATGCATATGTGGCTCTGACGTGTGACACAATGGCTGGGACGTTCGTTTTAGCAGCTCGAAATGCTGCGCTCACGTTCATCACTCTCCAGTGTTGCATTTCCAGCTTCGCTGTTTCCACATCTGTAGTCTTGTATGTGTCACAACCTGCTTAACATCCTGCTGGGCTGTACCGAGTACCTGTGTCCTACTAAATGATGACACCAACAACAACACTGATCGCCACCCCAAATAAACTTCTATTTCAACCCGTAGTTAGCACTGTGGACGATCTGCTCAGACGCCCGAACATTCTCCTCAGCCCTGGCAACTAGAGACCTTTCTTTTTATCTCAAAAAGACTGTTATCATTCGCTGAGACAGGCAAACTGTTACTATTCTATCATGCATACTTTTATCGAACGGGCTAGTGACGGACTTAGACGTTATATTTTAAGAATACGGTGACCGGACTTTGAAGCCTTCTTACTGATTTCTTCTTTGGGCTCTCATTTCCACTTTAAATTGCCTACACCGTTGCTCGAGACCTTAATGTTTTCCAAGCACGCGTGTTGCCTATGCTGTACCGAGGCATTATCCCTCGTCATCCGGCGCTCCATATCTCCAATCTGTTTTATCCGGTTATGCCGCTAATACGTCACAAAACGCTACAGTAGCCGCATTGTACTCTTTGTATCTTCTTGTGGAGAAGTTTTAACAGATAGACCCCGTCGAGCCTTAAAGCTGCCAACGTGAAGAAGTAAACAATCTTCCGGCCACACTGTTGCCCGATCACAAGAGTAAAAATGACGTCTTCGCCCGAGATGATACTGCTCGCGGCATGTTTTAAAGCTTCAGAGATGTCTATGGCTACTTCGCGATTTCTGACTTAACACGAAGATTCGTGTGTACCGGCTATATATCTATTCCTTCCCCTTTGGTTATAAATACTGGGCTGTACAAATGCACAATAAGTTAAAAGTGAAGGGTTTCCACCTGCATGTGTTTTGATTGCTTATTCTTCGCCGAGGATTGAGTTGGGTAGTCAGGAAGACTCTTCGGACAGTGATGTAGACAGGAAAACGATACATTCCTGGGGTCTGAATGGTAATTTTACGAGACACGGCTGAGTTAGTGATAACTTCGCATGCACCCTGTGTGTAATGTTTCTTTCAGACAGCAGTCTTGCATCCTAGTAATCTTGCACAAGTTAGATCACTAGGAAGGTGGTCCTCCCCATGATTATTATTTTTTAGTAGACTGTGTCTTTTTCAATTTTTAAAGTTTTCCTTGTCTGGTAATTTGCACGAAAGGCCGACTTCTGAAGTCCCCAATCCCAAGCAAACTTGAAAACATACGAAAAAATGTTATAGACCGTATAACTAGCTATTGTATCCCTTTCCCCCTAGACGTCCGGTGCCGGAAACCACGCAGACGATGACGCGACCGGCCGCTCCCACGTGTGGCGGCTGTCCCTCGTCACGATAAAACCTGACATCGAGTGGAGTGACAAGAGTCCGAAGATTATTGAGGACGCCTGTAGCACTCTGGTTGAGGCTCTGACCGGCTTGAGTCAACACCTCTTTGGTCTGACTGTGGCCGACTCCGCGGGCTCGCGAGTAGTTGACTTTTGTCGCCCCCTGGGCATCTTCAACGACTGTCTTGCCGCACACCTCCTAGATGACCTACTTCTCACCCACCTGCCTGTCTCGCCGGAAACTTTTGCCTCAAAGGACTTCTCTGGTGCTGCTGCGGCGGCGACCACTGCCCGTCTATCGCAGTTTATTAGCCAGGTCTCTGCTGCCGTTAACGGTCTGCTGGACACGGCCAAAAGGCTCGGCTTCATGCAGTCGGAAGCCCCGGATGCAGCCTCTTCATCCCTGACGTCCTTTGTGGAGCACATGGAGACGTTCATTGCTGCCCAGGGGCGGTATTTGCTCTACACCTCTGTGCTGGACATGCTGTCAAAGGTGGAGAACTTTTATACACTTCATAAGGTGCGTTTTCAAAAAGTGCACGTATTTTCTAGGCCACATTTGTGATAACTTACTGCAGTGCTACCGAAATTTCACCTCATAAGAACTGGATAACCAGCAGTATTTACACTTGCTACCCACTTTAGGTCATGGGTCATTATTATTCTTTATCAGTGGGCACTTCATTGTGACCTAAGAAAGCCACTTTTCCCTGAAGAGTCATCCGCTCCCTGGTCGGAGCTACCTGATGTCGTGGGGTATAGCCTGCTAAAGGCGCACATGCTTCACGCGAAATCAGCACCCTGTGCATTACCCACCGCACTCATCACACCCACCATGTTCCAACTGTAAGAAAAACTCGATAAAACTTAGTATGGACGTTTGTGCAGGTACTGAAGAAGTCAAGCCGACATCTGCGCGTACCAGACAGGTGCCGGCCCTTGCGCATACTAACTAGATCTCAAGGAGCGCATCTTGGATATATCATCGAGGACAATTGCCGTAAATGCCCTACTAGGTGGGCGTCATTACGTCCTGACCTCAGTTTTGAGTACGATGCGGGTATCCCGTCACCATGTCACCGCTTTGAGTGCACCATGAAGGCTAAAACACTGTCGCCTAAGAGCTAGTCAGCTTGAGGAAAGCCTCCAGGGTCGGCCTTACCCCTTCTTACCTCCTACAATGTATTGATAGCAAGTCAAAATGAAACATACTGACAGGGCGCAGTGTCTGACGTGATTAGGGGACCCCGATATAGAGCTATTCGCAAAACTGCATGGACCTCATTGAGACCTTGGGCAGCGACGCGGTACGCTATGGAGGGCCGGATGTGTGGTTTACAAGGAGGGTGACACTCAACCCACCCAGTTTTCTTCGAACGGAGGTGTATCCATCGCTGATGACTGCAATCATCATCTCGACTGAATGAGGTGAGAGTTGGATCAGGGTTACTTATGTATTTGACAAGTTGTTAGCTTTGTCTTATTGTGGTAGAAATAGCAATTTACCGATTTGTTAAGTCGATGATCTTGTAAAGGGTCACAGACCGGAGAACTATTTTGTCATGACAGGTGTTAGCTGCTGGTCAGGTGAGCCTAAAGATCGTGTTTTCTAACTGTTTCATGTGAGTCAGCTACGTGCGGAACACGCCGCGTACCACGTTGTCAGCAGAAGCACCCAACTTCCAATTCCCTTTTCGCCAGTTTGTGTATTTTAGTAGCGAGGAATCTGTCTTGCCTTCTCGGGCGTATGCACATTCCATGACTCGGGCACAGGAATGCTAACCGTGCACATTCCCTTTAGACTACGGAATCCTCATTGCCCGTCCGCCAGAAGTCCGATTGGCTGGATCATGTGCTCGATAAGGTCACGTGTCAGGTTCAGGCACTTTCTATCACATCCATACTATTGTTTATGGTGATTCTAGTAAACATGACGTCTTGTTCATGCCACGCTGAAGGGCAAATGAGGCACCATGGTTTTTTATTCCCCTCGCCAACATTCGCGCAAGCAAAGAGACACAATTACAAGTGGAGTATACCTCTCGAAAGATTTCTGTCTTGTATGGTTCAGACACGAATTCCGTCCGCACTTGCGTTCCTCCCAACTCTTGTCCTGGTTGGCGCCTGTTTCGTGGTAACCAACAGGTGGTGGATAGTCAAGTGTTTCCTGGTCATGGTAAGAGGGGTGTGGGCTTTGAGAATTAAGTTTTTGTTGATGGAATGCCGGGTAACTCCAAATTGCTGAACATCAAACACCTTATCGAACGACATGGCCTGCTGACTTGCCCTTTTTATGGACACTGGGACCGGCTAAACTGGCTCTGGCTCTTGAGTGTTTTTTGTCGTTGATAATGACTGTCCAATTCGCTCTCCCCAAATACAAACTACCTTTTTATAGGTAGGCCCTTCTAAAGAAATCAAGCCGCCATCTGCGGACGACGAGGAGGAGGAGGGGCGATCTCTGGAGGATATCATCGAACAGGAAGAACTTGCTGAACTCTTCTCAGCAGTCAACCTGGAATTCCCTGCCTGTTCGGTAACAGCCGTCCTTAGTTCCGTAATAAGCATACTTGTTTACTTTATTGTACGGTGATGTAGCCATGTTCGCTATGAAGTTTAAGCAACTTTGCCTTCCCTTGCTTAAGTTAGTCAGTATCCAGACGCAAAATTCAGTCACTTGTTCTCTAGCTCTCAGCCACACTATTCCATGCACCCCTTGGACCTTCTTAGTTTTACGATCGCCGATGTGATGTGTGAGGATAACGATGCGACTTACGGTCGAAGCGGATGAGTGAATACAACGGTTTTCTTGTATAAGATAAAAGACCCAGCACGCTGGACTATATAGCATGCTGGCTATAAAGCGATGTCAGAGGGGTATAATGCGTCCGAGTTGATCTAATCAGAGCGAATTCTGCGACAACTGTTAGCCATCGTAGGTTGGTGCTTGTAAATACTGTGACATCCCTGTCCAAAAGACTTACCGCGTGGAAATTTCGGTGAGAATTCAGCAAACGTCCCATGGGAGCGTAAGCGGACGTTGCCGCGTTGCGCATTGTCCACAACAAAGGAGCTTCTCTCCTCACTATCTCTTTGGCCCATGGCTGCTTTAGTCATCTCCAGTTTTAAGAATAAACCTACTTTAAAGCGTAACTCAGACAAATATTAGTGTGTCTCAAGGTCGAATGCGAATTTGAACTTGACTTTTGGAACAGATTGTAAGAGTTGCAGTTCTGCCTGCGGCTTTTTCTCTTCGCTGGTCCCCATGGGATATAAAACACATTTGAAGCATTGTTTTTTCCGGAAGAATTTTGAACAGGGCAAAGGCGACGAAACATACAGAATTTATTGAAGTCATTAAATTTCGTGACCTCTTCTTCAACTGCACAACGGTCATTTCGTATTTATAAGGTAAACTGTTCAACCAGAGATAGGCCTAGAGGGATGAAACATGATAGGTAAATAAAACATAGAAAGTTGATATGATATACGGGTGTGCATGGCGAGGGGGACAGAGGAGGAGGAAAGTTATCTAAGTAAGCGAGTTTACTTTACTGTGAAAACATGTCAGGCGTGAAACACATTTTACAACTTTTCGATACTTTGTGGTTTTCCAAATTCCCTTCCCATTTCTCATGACAACTATCTCAGAAATTTCTTTAAAACAATTCGAGCAACTGCTATCATGCAGTTTTTCGGCTACCAACTCCGACATGCGATCGTCAACTTCGTCTTTGCTACAGAGTAGGTCTTCATATGCGTGCGTCTTCTAACCCCACCTGCTGCTCTCGGCATTTCAAGCCTCATCTGTCCTACCTGTATATGAGGTCAGTATATAATCGTCTAGTGGAATCTAAACTAATCAGAAGAAGAAGCGATCACTGTAACAGGGGCTTTATTCGCCTGACGTTTCGGATTCTCACTTGAATCCATCATCAAAGACAATGGCGGAAAAGGGTGACTCGTGCACAGAACGTTCCAGTAATTATAGGATGCGGTCGCTATGCTACCGCATACCTACAGCAATTAACCGCGCTCCCCTTCATCAAGGATTGTTGCCGGCTGGTGCGGTAATTGCTTGATGGCCGGCATGCAAGTTGTTAATTGCTGAAATGTCATCACCCGTGTTGGATGCTGGCGTGATGATTGCTCGGCCATCTGGCTCACCGGCTTGCGCGCTCCCCGAGTGGTCAATTACTTTGGCCAGCCTACGCCTCAGCGCGGAATATGGAGTGGGGATGTCGTTTCACTTGTTGATAGATTGAGGTCCCGTGAACCATGACTCAAGCAAGTCGCGGCTCACGCGATTATCCCCTCTCGCGAGAATTTCGGCCTCATCGAACTTGAATGTGTGGCCGGGTCTCGTTGAATGGGCCGCGACCTGAGAGTTGGCGTCATTTCTCCGTACCGCTGCCGTGTATTCGGCAATTCGCGTTCGGAGCAGTCATCCAGTTTCTCCGACGTAGTTGCTTTGTCCGCAACTGCACCAGATCCGGTAAACGACTCCAGATATTTCTTGCCGTGACAGTGGGTCTTTTGGTCTCATCACCTGACGCCTCATGGTGGCCTCCGGTCTGTGTGCAACTCCAACCCCAAGGGGTGCAAGAAGACGACTGACGGCTTCCGAGACGTTCTTCACGTACGGAAGAGCCCGCCAAAATTTGGGGCTGGTTGGATTTGGTCTCTGGTGTCCTTTTCGTATGCACTGGTTGACAAAGTTGCGTGGGTAACCATTGGCTCTCATTACTCGTCAATAAATTTCTTGTTCCAGTGATCGCATCGTCGTCTTCTGAACTGCTGCTACCTGGAACTAGCCTATTCGCTTCTATCAGAAAACCCTCTCTCAAATGCCCTTTAGATCGGTAAACCCTAACAGAAGCCTCCAACAGCTATCCATCCAGTTGATCTCTTGTTATCAATATAGTCAAATATACTATGTCATCATTCCTACAGTACTAGAAGATTATCTTTTTCCATTGTTTATTTTGGCCATAGTATTATATATCCATTATGCATTTGAGGCGTGGTATGCTTATAGCGCATCACCCAGTTTTCGAAATCGGCAAAAATCTACCAGCAAGAAATAAATATCTGGCTACTGCATGCTTCAGCATCGCCTGTGAAACCGTTTGGTCAAAGACCAAATGCGATCATTGCTGGGATAGGCAACCCTTGCCGTGTTCTGCGAACACATCGCCTTTTGTTTATAGAATTTTATTTTTTACCTTCAATCAAGCATTCTACGGCAGATATGGTACGCGTTTAGATGAAGGCATCCAATTCCGTCATTATGTCTCATCCCCATTAGCCCTGACGTGGACTGACCACTAGCTCACGGAAAAGGGGAGAGGAAGTGCGGTCGTTCCAAGTCAAGTCGAGTGTCTGCTTTCGTCACTACAAACTGACAGACGCTCTCTTAAATTACCACAACGCTCTGACAGCCTTGACTTGGAAGCTTTTCAGCTGATGGGATAAGTTGATCATATCTAGTTAACATTGCACCTTAATGCGGTTCTTATTACACTCTCATGCCCGATGTCCAGGGCCCCTCGTTAAAGATTGGTTCTTGCGGAGCTGGCCACCAGCTCGTGTGTTGTACACCCAGTCGGGCCTCAGCCACGGCGACCGCGCTCACCTTCATTCGCCTTGACTCCGTCCTGATATCCGAACAGTAAGTTATATGTTGCTCATGCGCTAGTCACCGTCCCGCCCCTGACGGCAAGGTGACATCATTCCCGATCGCAGCCGACAGGACAACGAGCCCGTGGCTCAGTGATTAGAGGCGCTGGACTCCTAACTTACAGGGCGCGGGATCGAGTCCCTGGTATTGCACGCTTCGGGGTTGGATATGATTGCCTGACGACGGCCAGTAAGCCAGCAATGGCCATTCCAGTCTCCCTAGTCTTTGTCGGTATTAACAAAGTGACAACTCTCACCGCTGTTGACGGATGCAGTAATTATTATAGCAGCTATATTCCGTGTAGCACATCTGCCTTTAGACGCCGGTTTTTCTGCTACTACTTTCTCCAACCCTTCATACCGAGTATTGTTTAGTGGCACTAGTCCCTTGCTAGGTTGTCTTTTAGTAGATAAGTGACAGAACGTCGTAAATTTCTCAAGTGTGTCCCTGACAAAATGAGCTGGCTAATTATACTTTCACGGCTGGTCACTAGCTGTTAGAATTTGTTAAATTTGTTTGGAGTTGATATCTTTGGTCATTTCTTACGACTGAAAACTAAATTGGCTATTTTTCGACATTTATTTCCCTTTTGCAGGTTTCGGAAGCAGCAGTCAGTCTTCTTGCGCGAGTCACTCAAATCATAGATCATGCGGAGGCCCTGCTGGATCTCAGTCTGGACGATTCTAACGCCAAAACGGGCCATACTGATGTCAACCTGACCAAACCGGAGTCAGCTCCTCTAGACCTTGTGCGGTCCCTGCTGACCCTGGTTCCACGACTTATTTTTCTCTACGTTCACAGCGTTCCGGCCCTGCACTCAAATCGCCTGAAGTCCGATTTCAACTTTCTGGGTAATCTATCCCGCCTGCATGGCTAAATCACCTGACTTGCTTACAGCAGTTTCTTACCAAAAGAAAAGTCTGTCTTTGAGAATTTATTATTCTAGTTGGATTGACACGGGAATACGGATTCTCCATATTTCAGGTGGCCTTGCCCTAATTTCCAGGGGTTTAGCGGTAGAGCTCGGAGAGGTAGAGGCAGGGTTAATACTAAGGTCAGGCTTGGTGTTGGAGCACGAGAATAGGTACCCCTGGAATTTAGCGCGAGGCCCTCTGTAGTACGGAGAATTCCATATTTCTGTGTACGATCATTCGGTCTGACTTTCTATTCACGAGTTAGTCTCCTTTCCCTGGGACTAATTTTTTGTCGAAGATACCTTTTATAGCACCGCATTGAAGCGGAAGAGTTGGTTAATTTTTAATTGTTATACGGGTATGAAAGAAGATGTAGGGATCTGAAAGACGAGTTCATTCTTTTCGGCCTTTAGAGTTCTTAATTCTGTCACCTGCCGGCAGCACAGGTGAACTTCAGCTATGCGACTTCCGCCCCCTGCTCATGGCTGCATTAGTCTTTTTTGTGAAATGGACTGGCTATTTTCTACATATTTCAGATGATGAACCCGCGACAAGTCTGAAAATGCAGTAGCCGAACCTCGTCTGCTCTGTGCTGGAATCATTTGCCATTTTCTCCGCCACTGGGCTCAGGCCTCGTAGTGTAAAAGGAAAACACGGCTGCGCAAAGCGAATTATTTTTCTTAGACATTATTTAATATTTAATGTTGCCATATGCGATGTTACTGCTGCGTTGGATGTTCCGAACTTTGGCAATTCTATTAAAGCTTATGCCACTTCATCTTGTGCTAATACTCGAATGTTTGACACATGTACAGTAGGTGGGCTAACTTATGAAATGTCAACCGAAATTCCAAAATGCGTTTTCCTGTCCAAAAGATAAATTAACTAGGGTTGTAAAACTAGCCAGCCTGCAACATAATTCTATAATATTTCAGTTACCTTAGGATGCCGGCTTTCGAACGAACTTCCTTCCGGCTGCATACAAAAACTACACCCTGTAAAAATGACTACTTAAGTAGCATGACCTTTTCTCATTGATTTTCGATGCCCCTAGTAGTCCAATTATGTTTCCTAGAAAACTATCTGCCTAATGAGCAAAAGAATGAATATTTTTATGCATGTTTTCTATGAAATATAATTGGACTTTTAGAGGCATCGAAAATCAATGAGAAAAATGCGTGCTAATTAAGTAGTCATTTTTACAGGGTGTAGTTTTTGCATGCAGCCGGAAGGAAGTTCATTCGAAAGCCGGCATCCTAAGGTAATTGAAATATTATAGAATTATGTTGCAAGCCGACTATTTTTATAACCCTACTTAATTAATCTTTTCGAAACGAAAACGCATTTCGGAATTTCGGTTGACATTTCATGAGTTAGCCCGCCTATTGTGTAGCGTCGTAAAGAGGCTAAATGACATTGGCACATCTTGACTCTTTCCAAATTTGTCTGCCTAATGACAGTGCTAGAGTACAATAGTTGTTTTGGTCGGTTCCTTTCAAAGAAAGTCCTCGGACTCTATCGGTTTCTGCTTCATTCAGGCCATCAAATCCGTCTCACATTTTTTGGGAAGTAATTGAAAAATAGCCCGGTAATCGCTGTGATATTTTACATTTCAAACGATTTCTTTCGAATTGCCGACTGAAGAGATGCGCCAGTGGCTGGGACTCATCCGTCAATTTGAATGGATACGTAGACGGGCGGGGATGCGTTGACCAACTGTTTGCTACCCTGTATATCCTCAACTACCACCATGGCTACCACCAGTAGGTGACAGTCCGCTTTGTGGGCTTTTCTGCTGTATTTGCAATAGATGCAGTGCAAATCTACTATTACTATGCCCGCACTAACGCGCAAGTCACCGTTCCTGCTCTCACCTTGCTCTGGAGCACACGGTGGACACCGTCGGCGGCGACAGTCGGACTGTCATATATCAACCTTAAAACTACGTATTGGGCGCCACGAAATTTTTTGAATTTCCTGGGTTTGTGGACCAAGCACGAAGTGTATGCGATGCTTCAACTTTTTATTTTCAATATTTCAGCTGCCTACTACGATGACTGCATTTATCTGGCGCACGAGTGCCTCACTTTGGGAAAGCTGAGACTTTACCCTCTGGCGGAAAAAGTCCTGATGGCGACGGAGGCTGCCGACGCTGAAGGCCAGGACAAAGATTTTCCCCTGTCCTTCCTAGCCAGTGTTTCAACAATACAATTGGTTTCTCAACTGCGAGAAGCCGGAACTTCAGCGCTTCTGGAGCGTCTTCGAGAGCAACGCAGTTCGATTGAGGAACAGTTTAAGCTCTCTAGGGGACTACGCGTAAGTTAATATCGCCTCTAAGTTTCAATTACACATTTCCGACTGTCAATACTGGCAGTCAGTGTATACTTTTTCCTGCTGTAGGAGTCCTCAACAAGCGGTTTGACTGATTGTCAACAGGCAATAGTAGCCTGCCTCTCCTTGATCCTGCGTCTATCGAAGGACCTGAATATTATGCCGATGTCTGTATACCTCAGATGCCTCGGTAAGTGTCCCAGTCTTGTCTTTTGTCTTTCTCATGCAGTCGTTTTCTTTCCAGGTGGGATAGAAGTGAATTTTCGGCAGCCACTGGGAATTGGTGGGATGACTTTATTGACCGACTTTCCGGGCCCTCGGTTTACTGTACATTTTTTTCGAGAACTGGGGACGCCCATAACGTTACGGCTGTTTGCAGGACGTCTTAGGTTAGTCATCCCCATGCCATGTGATCCACACAGCGCTGGCTTGAACTGCCGACAATCAGGGTCGTGCTTACCGCGTAATAGTTACTGCACCTACATTAATTGTCTACACGCGTTGGCTGTTGCCTTTGCTTGTCAAGTTCACCCATAAAGGTGGTGGCTTGCTACTACTGGTTATCAATAGCGCCCCTTTATCTCGTCATATATTGATCTGTTTCCCTGTCGTGGTCAGCATTCCTGTATCCCAGTCTGTTGGAATCTTTCAGGGGTATTTCCGACAATCACGTCTTCCACAGTATAACCCTCTCGGTCTAGGTACTGGCACAAGGTTTACTGGCCTGGGAGAGTTTGATATACTGGTTGATCAATTCTGAGCTTCAGAACCGAACCAGGCTCAATGACTCCTCCTTAATGTGGTTTCTACGCCAGTTCCACTCAGGTGGGGTCCGAGCCGTCCACCTCGTCTCTGTGAAAACCTGCCTCATTGCGCGCGGACCAGGTCTCGTGTGTGGCACGCGCAGACGGGCTGTTTAGCTTTGTCAGCCGCCTGAGCCAGAGCCCGCCTCCGGTAGTCCTGACACCGTCTTTCCACTGGGCCTAGGTGGATGGAGAGACGAGGGTGCTGTGGGTGCTGCGCAAGTCTACTATCACTATAAACTGAGTCATGTGCAAGTCACAACCCTGCGTTCACCATGTCGTGGACAGCCGATAAACATCATCGTTCGCGATGGTCTAACCGTGAGTAATTAGAGAAACCTGGTCATGTTCGTCGTTTCGATCAAGTGAAAGGGTAATCGGGGACTGTTTATCATCTAGGTAGGTAAGGGTGACATAGTGAGAGCGGAGAGGTGGTTGGGATAATTGGCGCCGAGGGTCTCGAGAGCATGCAGTTGACTGATTTTTGACCCCGGCAAACCCGAGGTCTGCACGAAGTTCTTCAGTAGGCACAGGACCGGCTTACGTTACCTGATATCGACCGCTTCCACTGTTGTCCGTAGACGCTGTCGTAGTGGTTTTGTGTAATTCGGCTTTACCTTCCAAATCACTCGGGAAGCTTTTTTATGGTTCGTGCGATGCCCGGAATTAGTTATATGTACGTAATTCGATTTCATTTAAAATCCATATTTTAATTTGTCGTTCAATCATGCAAATATGTAGGCCTGATGGGAGTTTGTCGAAAGCAATGTATGCAGTCGCACCTGTAGGTTTGTTCTGTAAACACTCCTATATGACGATTGACCAGCCAGTCATTTCGACAATTTCTTCGAAAATGGCGCTCCGAGTAATGTGTCTTAGGTGTCCTAGCATTTTTCACGTCGTTGCTGGTTTTCTGTGGCCGGTTGGTTAAAGCAGGTTTCCACTACGTCTCCCACGCAATAAGCTGTCGAAATATTATCTCGCTGCCTTAGTTAAAAGAACAATCGGACTCGTCAAAGCATTCACTTCTGGGAAAGCATCATCTTTTTTTTCATCATTTTCGACGGTTGCAACATTTGACGTTTCTACTTCATCAGTTTTCTCTTCTGCCACTTAGGTGTGATTTGCGAAGACTTTGTGAAACTCATCTGTGAAGCTCTTCTCCAGCTGGAGGACATCACTACACCGGATTGCAGCACCCTTATTCAGCTTATTACAACCGTAACAAACTCGGTGGGTTTGAGTCCCATTATAAACTTTCCCTCTGTGATTCGAAGATAACCACTAAGCCAGAAATGACCATTTAAGTCTCCATAGTCTCCGTTGTTATTCCTACTTGTATTGCTTGTGCTTTGAATCTTTACGCAGATAATGTATGTATGTGTTTGGCTATACATGCTTAGACATATTGCTTGCGAGGAAGAGCCTATCAACTTACACTCCCAACTTTATTCGTGTCGATGTTTTGAAAGCTTCACCACTTCCTCCATCAGGGCGGGGAATTCGTTTTTCAGCATCGTCGCCTTACGCGCATCCACTCACATGCACAAACGTGAAGATAAATACTTTTTCTTTCATGCCTTCGGCAATTAAATCTTAATCGAGATAGGTGTATACATTTCTTCACCGTCCTTTAAGCCATCGTTTCTTCACTATGTTGGTACATGGGTTATTTAGCGTTTCTACGTTATCCCCTTCTTTAACATCTTTAGATATCCGGTATCTTTGAGAAGCACCTCGACGATGCATTTGCCTCTCCAAACAGTGGTTCTGCTGCGGTTGAAGAGAAGGTAGGGAAGGCTATTTTTTGTTTAACTGGTAACTTGCTCTAGGAGTCAAGAATGTCTTCATTTCCAAGCGATTGCTTGCAGTCGGTTATCTGAGCATACACCTCATGCCCTTCTGCCTTTTTTGCTGTTGTCCTCAAAGTATCCTGTCACTCGGTTCTTAGGACGTCATAAACGTTTCGAATCAGATCTCTAACTGTAGCCGGATCGGCCGCATTCATTTTCGCTGTAAGCTTCTTTTTCCAGAGTGGGATTTTGTCTGGTCCATTTTCTGCTGCCGTCCGTGAATTTTTACTCCGAGCAGCTGTGCTGAGTGTATGCAATGGGGAACTGCCATTCACTTACTGGACAGAAGACAGGGACAAAACTAGTCCGACGTTTCAGTCAGGACAATCGATCTTTATCTCGCTGCACCATTGTGGTGGTGCTGGTGACGGTGACGGTGGTTGTTTGTCCCATTAGGGGCGAAAGGGGTTCATCTTGAAGACGGGTTTCGTGCTAGTGCGCTCTACGGTGTTGGAGACCGTGTTCTCAGGGAGTTATTTGAATGAACAATGGCCACAGGCCAATTTTTGCGCTGGAACCCACCAATATTGTGTTTTTTCCGTCCCCCACTGACGTCAATCGGATGCTGATACTGCATAAGTACTGACCTCTTATCAGGCGGACTCCAAGTACAGATGACTATTTAACCCTTTATAACCGACGCTACCTTCCTGGGCTCTAGTTTCCATGGTCATTTTCTGCAAGTGTCTTAGATTCCGTTTACCTGCTGATTTCCTGAAGTTTGGTCAAATTTTATTATCCAGCAATTCTATCCTCTGTTTGTTGTTTCTCAGGTCAGCTTTTGGTTAGATCGCAATTGGTAGCCAGGAATGAGGAGGCGGACGGCCAGGTCCCTGTCGTACGGGAATGGTGGGTTGTGTGGGTATGGTAAGGTAGAGGAATGCTGGAGTTTCTGGGTAAAGTTACCAGGGAAAGTGCTGGAAAGTTTTAAATGGGTGCAATAATGGCAGAAATTTAAACTCTACGTTTAACCCTAAAATCCAACCCTGACCGCAACCGTAAAGAATAACCCTAAGCCTCAAAACCGAAACTTAACCAAAATCCTAAAATCCAACGCTTACCCAAAACCTAGCCATAACCCTAACCTTAAGCCTAACCTTGACCGTAACCCTAACCCTAACACTGAAACCTGACCCTAAAACGCAAACGCTAATCCTAAAACTTAACCCACGCCTAACCCTAACCCTCACTAAACCCAACAGCCCGACCGAAACGGGCGACCTGCCTAACTCAGTAAGAGCACACCTACTGATAACAATTTCCCTAGACAAGGTAAGCACACCTACTGATAACAAGTACGTACGTCGGCAGTATCACCGTATAATGTCTGGCTAGCAACTGCGATCTTACCCAGCTTTTCTTAGTGGCATTAGCAACGAATAGGTAGCATAGGCCGATTGAGAAGTGGGGATATTCAGAAACCCTAACTCAAACTATACTCTCGAGTGGGGTGTTCACAAAAAGCCTTCTGCGTTCCACTTAAAGCATTTGCGTTAGAAGCTGGTTCACCAACAATTGGAAAGTGGGGAGACGCCGTTTTGCCTCGCACTTATCAACTTATTAGGGCTTGTGTAAAAACGAGTAACGCTCACCGTCTAGCTTTTGAGATTTCATATTCCATGACTTTGGGCAGTACGAGGTAGCTTTTCTTAAACTACAAACACACATTAGAAATACCGTCCTAGAAAAATTAGCAAGGCAAACCTTTTTGTCCTCGTCACTTTTTCCTCCCTGTCTATTCTGTCCGTTTGTTTTCTTTTTTTTTCTGTAGTCTCTTACGACCCTTCTCACCCGACGTGTCCCCTCGTGGCCTCGTCTCGAAAGCATTCTCACTGTGCTCCAGGCAGCCTCGCTGGAGCATATTCGGCACATCTGGGCGGACAGGAGCAACGCCGACGCTCAGCCACTTCCCTTCAGGCTGACTGCTGCCGAGGTGGGACATCTAGTGACTGCACTCTACAGAGATTCCACTGCACGCTCCAACTTCCTCAAAAATCTTACTGATTAGGTGGCATCTCGCGTTGTTCCCTGTTTCCCCATTTGGTTTCTAGAGATTACTTTCACTGAAATATATACTTCGTACATTTGTATACGGACTTTGCGTTAGTTGAAAGAAGGCGCCTGTCCTAGTAGGTAAGGGCCTGATGCCTGCAAGGTCAGAATTGTGAACACTGACTTCTGGCATGCCATCTGGAATAGTTCTGTTCCGAACTCGCGCTTTCATACGCCCAGAAAGTCACAGCTGGAACACTTTAGCGTCGGACTCAACAAACTCGCGTTGTAGTTGTCACTGGTGTAACCATTAGTTATTATTCTGTCAGGCGCTTGTTGTGTACCAAAAGATCACAACCAACGTGTTAGGTTAAGTCTTCGCCTCAACGTGTTCGGAGGGTTTTTATTCCGAGGGGAATAAGTATTTAAGACCACTGATTCTGCCATTTTATCGTCAGGAGAGCAGGAGCTCAAATGCCTTCTGTGTGTTAGATCTGAAGGTGAGTGGACTTCTTTTTCTCATCGTTTGAATTAGTGAGGCACTGTTACATTATTATGCCGTGGCCAAGCACTCACTACAGGACGAAAATACCGCCTGACCTAGCACGATTTCATTCCCCTCTAGAGGTGGACTACCCACTTTTGAGGATACCCGAACTGGTCCGAGGTTGCCGTCAAAGGGCATTGATATGAAAACTCAGCCTTCTTGATTCTGGGCGGTCATATCCCAAGGCCTGGGATTGGTGATAGTGGCATGTAAACCAGAAATGGTTAGTACAGTCTCGCCTGTCGAAACAATTTTGCGACGCGAACATTAATTCGCCCGGGTTATATGTGGGCGCAATCGCGTTTGTCCGCGACTGCTGTTCTTGTACGTCAGCCCAGTGACTTCTGATCACAAATGACGCCTAAGATCGTTTGAAGGAGTGATTAGCGTTCGTGGCCACAATTTCCCAACTGAAGAGAAAGGACCAAGTGCCATACTCTGATGCGACAGACGCTGGCTGGTCCTGAGAGCAAACGGGTTTAGCGTGCAGATCTCAGTCCCTAATTACAGGAAAGCAAGATCCTATCTCTCTTTAGCAGATGACTAACACTTGGGCATAAGCTGATCCGGTATCCGCGACTGCTCCAACCGAGCCATTTCCTCGTAATGTTTGTAACAAAAAGACACTTCAAATAGGATACTGAAGCAGTGCAGATTTTACTGACTTCACGAATCGCGTGACCTCTTACTCAACTTCCCACGGTCATTGCGTATTTATAAGACAAGGGAAACTGTTCAATCATAGATTGACCTAGAGAGATGAAACGCGATAGGTAAAATGAAGCATGGATTTTTGGTCCGGCACGGGGGTGCGCATGGCGAGGGGGAGGGAGAAAGAAGTCACCTGAGCAAGCGAGTTCAGACAGCAGTGAAAACCTGCCGGGCATGGTTGAAACTGCAGCGCAGCAGTCAGTCATGCCGGGAGGGGTTGCGAGGAGGTGAGAGGACGGATATGGGAGTGGAGTCACGCCCATTATCGATTCTTTTCATGGTAGCGCGAGGTGGATCACGTGATCCAGCTTCTTGCAGAGTTCTGGTTTCCTCCGTATCGCAGCGACCTCTGCAAAACGCAAGAGCACTCTGCAACCATTGAGTCCACCGTACGGCCAGTGTCCACTAGGTGCTTTATAACTGAGCTACATGAAGGAATGAAAATAAACAAAATTAACAGTGTCTATAGGTGTCTCAAGGGCTATTAAGCCTTTAACACTCATCTTCCTCACGCCGCCCGCATAACGAGGTCGGCGGGTTTTGGTTCTTAGAGCAAGGGGTGGGGTAAAAGAGTCTTTGTTGATGTTCTTAGATTGTGTACACGGAGTACCCATCACTGTAACCAGGGATTTGAGGCCGCATGTCGTCATCACTTGAGGTTGGCGTTGGCCACGGCAGAGAGAGCGCTTGTGTCAGTGTTTTCTGACGGCATAAAACCGGATTCGCTAGCCGTATAGCCACTGCCTCGGCCGTTGCTTGCATCCGTTGGCGTGGGCCTTTAGAGGAGCTTGTTGGTGTCCGGTAGACAACCTGAAATGATTCCGTGGCTCGACTCGGTGATCCGTATCGATTAAATGTGCGAGAAAAGAACTCGAAATCGATGGGGTCTCACTTCCGTCTAGCCAGGCGGGCATATGTTCACGCACCCTCTTTACCAGGCGTCCCGTTGTACGGCCAGTGTATCCCGCCACACAGGAGCAAGTAAATGAGTAGATGCACATTGATGTAGCCTCCAAACGGTAGTTTGTCTTTACTTCCCAAACGTAGGAGGGGAGAGTTTGTGAAGCATACGCGTAAATTCGCAGCGTGGAATGCTCTCGTGATAGCTGTAGATGAACGCTGTCTGACTAGCATTTATAACTCCAGATTACGGGTCTTCTCGGGGATTTCACGTTAAGATGAGTTCTACTTTCTGGCCTTGGTGTAGTCAGCGTTTGGCACCGGACCATTGCATTCGCGGTGCCGATGGTCAGGCCCAAGTTGAAGCGGCCGAAGGCGAAGAGGTTCACATTCCGCTGCACGTCCTCTTCCGTGCTGATCTTGAATGCCCTCGCAGACGCTTTTAGGCGGCGAATGTTAGACAATTTACAGTGGGTACGGTAGCCGATGTAAATCGCAGGTCTCTCCTCACGGTAGGAGTTCGTCACCACAGCGGAGAACATGAGACTGAAGAGAGCGGGAGGGAACACGCAGCTCTACCTAGCCAATTGGTCAGGGTGAATGCATATGACATTGAATAGTTTCCCGTGACGCGGGCCAACAGTCCGTCGTAAAGCTGCCTCCTCATTTGTGTAAATTGTTCGCGACATCCCAATTTCGGCGTGATTACACGGAGTCCATCGCGAGGTCCTGGTAAGTTAGACGAAGGTGATGCAGAGCCGCAAACTCCCGTTCACTGCGACGCGGACCACAAGCCTTAATTCCTTGCGTCAAAGCCGACAAGAAAAGCGACTCATTTTTGCTGTTTACAGTATTGCAAAGTCGTACTTTTACCCTGCTGACCACTTTTAAGTTTATTGACCACCCTAGACGCGATAATCATCGCGAGATATTTTATTCCTCACTCCGGCACGTACAGTTAAATATCATCGGTTCTCCTCTGGTAACTCAATTGTTGTTTAAAACAAGCTACCTGAGGACGTAAAAATTCAGCGAAATTATTTTTGTTTAAACGAACTGTCACCCGCCCTCCGTACTCAGAACAACTTAAATAACTTCTGGGTGTCGAATACACTGAACTCATCTTCTGTAGTGACAGAACCCATGGTCTTTAGTCCCTCTGCCCCGTTTTGTCTCAATGAGAATGGTGTTGATCCTGCAGTCCGCTACCTAGCGGGTGAATTCTTCAGCCGACTGCGAGCAGCATGATTCTTTAGAGTTAATCGGGCCTCACTATGGTTAGGGTCTTCATCAGGCCCACGAAGGTGGTGTAGAGGTTAGTGCTTAGGATCTGGCACTTTTCCTACAGTTAACGGGACGCAAAGGTCATACCTATGGTTCTGTGGCGATTTCTAAATTCTTACTGCGTTTCTGGAAGTTCCGGCGAGGATGGGATATGTAAGCCCACTGAGAAAATAGAGACCAGGGACTCCTGCAATGTGGAAAGGATGCTAATGCTAATTTTATCACTAGGGTAGCTGACGAAATCTACCGAAGGCATAGGAAAAAACTCACATTCCTGTTACTTGTTTGTGTTATTACTCCAACGAGGTATTTGAACAGACCGCACAAATTAGGAACGAAAAATAGGTACTACGGGGTCATTGGTTAAAGAAGACCAAATTGGGTAAGACGCACGCGGCGGCCGGAAACGTAACTCTAATATAACATGGCTACATAGATCAAATAAACAGGCATTTTATAGCAATACAAACTAAGGACCTACGTAGTCAATCTTCGTCGCGGTCCCTGCTCCAGTTGTGTGTTCAGACGATCAAGTAGGATATGAAAGAATATTTTTCCTCCGTTGTTATCACAGCATTGCCGACTTCTCTTGTGGTTATAAATGAGCCCAATGACTGTATTCCCAAAGCCCTGGAGGGTTTTACCTTTCGCCACATCTCCTGGAACAGTTAGGCAAGCTTGTCCATGAGCTCCAGGCCGCCGTACATGTTGACGTCGACTGGAGTTGCGTCTGCTCCTGGCGCTTTCCGACTGGACAGTTTTTGCACTGCTCTGGTTGTCTCAGGAAATGATGGCGGGCGATCGGGATTGTTTCATTCAAGCTGAGCAGTATTACATACTCTTGTTTTGCGAGCAGTGGACTGCTATGATGGTCGCGAAAGAATTTTTCATCCCATCACGGTTAACATGTTCCTGCGCCTCTTTAGCTTTGAGAGTCATCTAGGCGACCTGAATTGCCTTCAACCTCTGTCGTACTAGGCTTTGGTATCCGAGATATGCGGCTTCACTGTCATTGTTGTTGTTAACGGCGTAGGTCGTTGCAGTCTGTTTCCCGGAGAGGAGTGTGCATTTTTCATCACGGTCACCAAACTAGGGCTGGTGGTGTACGCAGTCGAGGGTTTTCACTGCGGTGTCCTGGATGATATCCTACAGCTTCATACGTTGGGTCTCAATATTATAAAGGCCTCCAGGATTTGCTTTCCTCCCGATTAAGAGTTAAAGCAGCAGCTCAAATTCAATTGGCGTTCAGACTCTCCAAATAACAGCATTTAACTCACCTGATTCTGACCTACCTTACCGTCGTCTGCCATGTGTAACGTAGAGTTGGAATCAGAAATTTAGCTTACCGTTAGGAGCCGTCAATACTATTAACTCTTAGTTTTAGTATCTCTTAGTTTTTTGACAGCTTTCCATTAGGATTCTTGCTTTTCACGATCCGTTGTACAATGACCTGAAGTTCAGAGTCGGCGTAGCATGAACGACTCCAACGAGTGTGGCAATTACATACAACCGACGCATCGAGCTCAACCCGGTCTCACGTAGAAGCGAAATTCGGACATCCAGGTCATTAAGTTTGTATAAAGAAAAGATAAAGAAATTACATTTTTCAGGTGGAATTGCGTTTGTCTGTAGTAAAAGTCAATCAGACATGTCACTCTGCGTTAGTGAGTGACAAAACCATGTTGCCACCGCTACTCACAAAAAATAACTAAAGCGTCCTACGCTTGTACCTGTACTATAGTTAGAACCCAGTCTATTGCGTCCGACTCCCTTGGGAGAACGAATTAAGGAGGGTTTCGCAAAGAAATATCATAACAAGGGTGATAGTGTGTGCTTTTAGAGAAGCGGAAGTGTGAAACTACCTTTTGTTTATCTTGTCAGACTCACCCTAATAAATGGATGTCAGAGACGCCATTAATCCATGTCGTTTGCATAAAAACTAGCTTAACCGTAATTTCGAAGGTGCTCAGATGCGGGGATTTTTTGGACTACGATAGCTCCAAAGACAAAGGACCCCCGGCAGATCGATAGTGAGTATTAACAACGTTCGCTCGCGCCTTTCTTCGAAATTTATTAATGCAAACCATAAGTCTAAACTCCATGACAATCTCATCAGAAGGAAGCGTAGAATCGCTACCGCGTAGTGAATTAGTTAAATAGGAACCATCTGATAATATCTCCTTCTTTCGATGTACAAGGGACAGTAAGCATCATCGGATTTACCGCTTATATCCAAATAATGAACATTATTTTATTAGTGGGAAGGGTAGTTAAAAAGGAATGTACAGAAGTAAGAGTGAGGCTTTGTATTACTGACATAAAAAATGTAGACGCACAGTAGGTGGTGCGTGCCATGAATGCATGTCTTTACGACTGCCCGCAAGAATCACGTCCATCATAAATGAATAATTGAACGACATGCATTTTTCAATAGATTTTTAATGCAATAATACAGTTTTAAATGATTTTCCTGAAGACTTCTTTTCCAAAACTGTTGGAACATTCATGAGGCTGTATTCTGAATTCAGACTATGGACATTTGAAGATTAAAATAGTCTGGAAAGCGTTTAAAGTAGAGCCAGTAAAATAGTGGCACAAGCTACTTCCCCTATCCAACGCGCCTGACAAATCTGAAATTCTTCCCTTTGAGTATCAGGCAAATGCTCAGGGATTACTTGTAAGCATTCCGTATTGCGAAGGACTTGGATTGTGAACTGGTCATATGGGACATTTGGGACTTTGCGGACTTACTACCACGGAAAACCTTCGGGTTTGCCCATTGAAACTGTGTATTCAGCAGGTAGGGCTGGATAGGCGGAAGTTCTCCTTCTCTGTCAGAGTGCTTAAATCATGGAATGCACCCCACTAAAATGTTATGATGTCACCGTCGATAGAAAACTTTAAAAGGAACCTTGACAGACTTATTTTCCAAAATCAGGCGGGGAAATTAGAGATGTAATCTAACCCATGAGATTTACACCCAAATCGTCGTATTTTTATGGTCGTTTTCTGAACTGTTTTTGCCCACATGGTTCTTCTGTACACTGCATACAGTTTTGCGTTGAAAATGTGGTACTGAAAGGCTCATCCATAGCTGCCTTCCCTCTCCAACTAGCCTCTACCCCTCTTTTAGGCCCTCTCCTCTCCCTCTCCCTCCTCCTCCTCCTCCTCCTCCTCCTCCTCCTCCTCCTCCTCCTCCACAAATTAACTTCCAACGAGGTGATCCCTGTTCTAACTCCCCTAGCAACCGAATGCTCGAAAACTATATCCCCATATCCTTTAGGTCTCATTCCCAGCCTTCTTTGCTGACTCCCCGCACGTCAATAACCCTAGACTAACTGGTACTTTCTCTCCAAGCATCATCAATTCACAGCTAACATATCCGCCTCCAAATTTATTTATAAATACCGTCGGCAATATCTTCGCTGTTCGAAACACATTAGATATTATATTATTGAATGTCAGGTCTGTTATAAAAAAGATGGCCCAAAACAGAGTCATTGCTCTCGAAGCGGCGCCTGATATTATATGTGTAACGGAATCTGGGACTCATTCTCTAATTCCTGACTCTGCCTTTTTTTATAGATGACTTCGATTTTTACCGTCAAGACCGCACGACTACGCGTGAGGGCGGTGGTCTTCTTTGTCTTAGATCCTACCTAAAGCATTGTCCCTATTACCTGGATGCCTCCTAATTCACGGGTAACTTCTGCTTGGCATCTGTTGTTATCTCGTCAAAAAAGGCAGTTATTGGTCGTATCTACAATCCCTCGAACTCTTGAGCCAGTGGTGATTCATAACTCTGTGAAATCTTTAAATTAATTTCGGAAGCTGCTTTCGGTGTTAAAATAAACACTGGGCTTTTACTCTATCTGAAATAGACTGGGTTTCAAATACCTGTCCACTTAGATTCCAGCCTTTCCAAGATACTGTCAATTTTTATAACTGGATCCAGATAGTGAGATCTTCAAAAAGAGATAATCACATTTTACATCTAATCTTTACCAATGACATTATCCGTGGTTTCGTTGCTATCAAAAAGATTTCTTTAATAGTGAGCACGTATTAATTCATTGTTGCCTACCGCTTGTCTTTTCAAAAAAGACCAGCGCAGTTCGGACTTAGCTAAACTACGATTGCGTAGATAACGACTTAATAAATAACAATATTAGATCACTGTATTGGTGTGAATTTCTCTCTTGTAGCGATGCAACCATTCAGCGGAATGTCATGTCCAATATTTCCAAGGACATCCTGGAGTTTGTGCCGCGTAGATATCTCAAGCTTAATTCCGAGGATGTCCTTTTTCCTTATTTTCTTCGCTAAAAACTAAAAAGTTGTGACGGCAGCTGTGTGACCTGTCCACTAGTTCTTTGTCCTTTCATTTTAGAATCACAGAGATTTTTAAGATGGCCTCAAGGATGCGCCAAGCGCGAGACAGGCAAAGAGAATCACTTGCCCTCAGTGATTCGAGCACTGGCAAATCCGTCGCTAACATCTTCCGTCATTGGTCCTCCTCTAAGCGTGGTCACGAACTTCCATCCCCGTTAAAACGATAACAAAGTCTTCCTCATCGATGACACTGACAAGACGGAGTTGTTTAATATTTTCATTGCAAAACCCCTTTACTACTAAGTCCGAATCAGTCCCTTTCTTTCGCTCACTTTCATTTAGGACACTAAGTGCAATCGATGTCTCCTCAGACCTCATTAAGAAACACATAAGTCGTTTGAAAGACTCACGCTGCTCGGGAACGGATGGGATTCTAAATTCGATTGTTAAGCAGGCATGCGTCCTTCTGGTATTGCTTAATCATTTATTCTCGGTTTATGTTTCAAAAGAATTGTTCTCTAAAACATGGAAAACGTCAATTATCATTCCAGTCTTCAAGTCTGGATCTCGGTCCGATGCGAATAATTATCCGGGCGTGCACACAACACCGTCTCCAGCGAACCTTCTTGAAAGGACAGTTTCTAATTAAATTCTTGATTTCTGTCTAGTTAATCGGTTTGTGAGCTCTCGTCAGCATGGATTTTTATCTGAAAGATCTCGTGAATCTTGCCATTTGGCCTACCTTGATCTAAGCACTTCTCTTCATAATGAACAACAGTTAGTGATAATTATCTACTTTGATATCAGCAAAGCCTTCAATAAGGTGCCCCATATACGTCTTTCGGCAAAATTGGAGCTCTCGGCATCCGGCCACCTCTACTCGACTTCATCAGGTCCTACCTCTCCAACCAATATCAGAAAGTCATGTTTGGAAATAGCTACTCGACACCCCACTCGACCACGAGTGACGTACTTCAAGGCACGACTCTGGGTCCGCTATTCTTCCTTCATTAAATAAATTATATTTCGGACTAAATTAGAAATTCACAAGATTTTATTTAAGTCGATGACCTTAAGTGTGTTTAATCATATTCTAGGGACACCGCAAATGTTTGTGTTGAAAAAATTAATGCCGATTTACTACGCTTAAGCGGATGGAGTTCAAAGTGGCAGATGGAGTTTCATGCCTTTTGGTCCTGCCACATTCCTGATCGCATAAGTTTTCAGAATAACCCACTATCAGAATGCCTCATCTTTAAGGACTGAGACTTTAGTTATACACATAAACTTGCTTTATCACCTAATATAGATGGGATCTCTTACAAAGCCGCACAGATATGTGAGTTCACATCGCATAATTTTTCTTTCTAGAAATGAAATTAAGATTTTATCAAATGTTTGTTCCTCCTATCCTCGAGTCCTGTTTTTCTTTCTTTGGTTTAATAAACGCCTTTAACCGTAATAAAATCGGATATTTTCAGGGGGTTTTCTACCGAAAACTGTTTTATCAAGTCGTACCTGGCAGTTATTATACTCAGAGATGATAATAATAATAATAACTTCATTTTGTGCCAGATTACAGGCATTGTCAAGGGAAGCGTTAAACACAAATCCGACCAGCAGTGAAAAAAACTCCTGTGGAAAAGGAATAAAAATATAGTTGATAGCGGTTTTATGGTTTGGAGGGTTCAGGAGAGAACACTGCTGGCGGCAGACTTTCGACCGTCAAGAAGGGATGAGTTGCACGGTATCGGGTAATATCGGTCGCCAATTTCTTTCATGAAGTTGGGGATAGTCAAAGTAGAGGCGTTGAGAAACAGCTGTCGCTTTTGGCCAACGACATTTACCCTGGTGATACCGGGCATAGTGTTCAGAGACCACAAATGCCATCGCTACGGTACAGTCGATCAGTGGATTCAGCACCCAAAATTTGTGGGAGTTTTTCTGAATGCAAAAATCGAGTAATAGTTTTCTTTAATAAAAGACAATTTTGCAGATTTTTCACACTTATGGGTAGTTTATTTCAAATAGCAATTGCATTTACAGAAAACGACCGACGATATTCAACAGTACGTGCCAGAGGAAGAAATAAAAAGACCCCACGGTGACTGTTATGTCGGGGATGGATATGATGTCTTAAAGAGGTTAGTAAGTTAAATGCGTGATTACATAAAAGTTTAAATAGCAAAAATGTTCCCTTTTGTAATCTACGGCACCAGAAAGGATCAAGGCCTGTAAACCGACAACGTTCTTGGTAAGCCAAATGTCGGTGTTCCGGGGTTAAAACTCTCTTGGTAAAAAAGTGTTGAACGGATTCTATTTTCTTCCGCTCAGTAGCACGCATGAGGCTAAATAAAAACGAACCGTATTCCAGGCCAGGTCCAACGTACATGTCGTAAAAGCGCATTCTAATGTCCCTGATTTTTAAGTTTCCGAGGATAAACCCGGTCGTTCTACGCGCTTTGGAGACTATCAAGGTACAGTGTTCCGAAAGATTGAGACTCTTGGAGTATGATACGCCCAGATCCTTAATAACCCCAGACACATTTATGGCATGACCTTCAATGCTTATTTGAGGTTGGCGATCGTCGCCAACCTCCATGACTGAGCACTTATGCCAAGGAAGAGAAAGGCGCCATGTGCGGCACCACTGGGCGAAAGCCTGTAGGTCGCTGTTTAGGAGCTCAAGCACAATGTCACGAACTGCAGGCTTATATCGATATGCAACTTTTAGATCATCGGCATACATGAAAGGCTTACCATTCTGGAATAAATCGTGTACATCATTAACGAAATGGCAAAATAAATGCGGGCCGAGTACACTACCCTGAATGACTCCACTCCTCACACGTGTGGGGTTGGAGATAGTATTGGAAATCTTAACTCGTTGTGTACGAGTGCCCAGGTAAGAGGATATAAAATTTAAAAGTTTGCCACCTATTCCGAAAACGGACAGTTTTAAGAGAAGAAGAGCATGGCCAGCACGGTCAAAAGCCTTAGTGAAATCGAAATACACTGTGTAAAGTGCAAAACCATTGTCCCTCGATTGGAGAACTTAGTCAAAGAAAGAGATTTGACAGGTGTTACAAGATCGAGTTTTGATGAATCCATACTGAGCAGCACCCAGTACGTTATTCACTGTTAAGTGACACATCATTTTATCTTTGATCAATGTCTCTAAGATCTTCGAAACTGCGGGGAGCGTGTTTATTGGCCGAAAGTCATCAAATGACGTGGATTTGCCGTGCTTAGGAATGGGCAAAATGTGTGATTCCTTCCACAAGGTAGGGTAAGTTTCACTTTCAAGAGCAAGATTAAATATCTTGCTTAAGAGGGATGGGAAAATCGTATTCTCATCGGCTTTTAAAATGCTTACTGGGACACCCTCAGGTCCTGTCGGCTAGCCAACATTAAGTTTTGTAGGTTAGAAGACTCGAAGTTGGCCTTTGCTTTTTTTCGCATTTATTCTACCTCCACTCTTCCGCTCATTGACACTCTCACTCCGAGATGCAGGTCTCATTCTACGGGCAACTCCTCCGTGGTGAATGTGTCGCCTATTTGCCCTACATCTAAGCGATCCCTCTTCTTTGCTTCCAAATATAACTTCCTTTGGAATAATCTTCCGCCAGAAGTTAGGTCATCGCCTAAGCTACTGGTATTCAAATCGAAATTACGCAAACGCCTTACACCGGAAAGTATAAAGGCACTTTTGACGGTCTAACTCCCGAACACTCAAATTCTTGACATTGAGAATGGTCCTCCTGGTATTTAATGCTAGATCACGTATAAACCCTTACTTATATCTTTACTACCCCCTATTTTGAATTGATTACCAAATCCACTGCTATCACTTCTCCCCTATAGCGACGATTTTCG